ATTGCTGCCTATCAGTGCCCAGCAGTGCTGCCTATCAGTGCAGAATAATCAGTACCCTCCTCATCAATTCCCATCAGTGGCACCTCATCAGTGCAGCCTATTAGTGCCAATCAGTGCTGCCTATCAGTGCTGTCTCATCAGTACCCATCAGTGCTGCCTATCAGTGCCCATTAGTGCTGCCTCATCAATGCACATCAGTGAAGGAGAAAATGTACCTGTTTGCAAAATTTTATAATAGAAAAAAAGAAAACCTTTCTTTTTCAAGCTTTTTTGCTCTTTTTTTTCGTTTATAGTGCAAAAAAAAAAAAAAAAAACAGTGGTGATTAAATACTACCAAATAAATCTCTATTTGTGTGAAAAGAATTATAAAAATTTCACATGGGTACAGTACTGCATGACCGCGCAATTGTCATTCAAAGTGCGACAGCGCTGAAAGCTGAAAATTGGCCTGGGCAGGAAGGGGGGTAAAAGTGCCCAGTAGGCAGGGGGTTAATAATGAGGGTGCTGGCTTATCCAAAGTTCCACTTCTTAGCCCTTTTTAAGCCCATTGCACATAATTTGAAGGCCATGCAGTGCATTATGGTTTGAAAAACAAATTGCACAACAATTTGCCTGTGACTGTGATCTTGAACCTGCAGGTTTCGCCTCAAGTCCACGGAAGTCATAAACCTCATCTCTACTAAACTGATTCAATTACTTAGTTTTAAAGCAAAGATATTTGTTGCATACATTTGTAATTGCATGTATAGCCACAAAAAAAAGGCAAAAAGTGTGACTCCTAACTCCCAACTATATAGCAATTCACAAGATGAGAGCAGGCTCACCTGGTGGCAGACTTTTTCTCAGAAACTAGTTTTCAGTTAGGTACCACACTTTACAGAGGTGCCTTGATGTGGCAGTTTAGCTTAATATGTATTTGCTACAATAAAAACCTCTAAGTAACTAAAACCAGTTTTTTTTTTTAAATGGAACATGGCGGTATTGCTATTGCCACCTCTGGCAATTCCAGTGAGGGTAGGCGGTACTTGCTTCACCTACTTGATGAAACCTGACAGTCCATGACTGCCCCATGTATTCCTCAGTCAGTTAGTCTCTCCCTACTGATCTAGATTGTCCTAAACTGGGGGCCATACTGGTATAGTGCTGGGAAGGAGGAAGGGTCACTTTGGGGGGAGAAATCTGTACTGAGGTGGAAATTTGGGGGTATAGCACTATACTAGGGGGGTAGGGGATCTGAGTGGAGAGCACTGCACTGGTGGGGAATCTGGGGGTAGAACTCTTGAGATTTAGTTGTACTCTAGCTTGTGTGCTACCTATCCCTGTGCCTTGTGTGAAACACACTCCTGAGGATTTGGGGGGTGACTACCTGCGCCCATTATAAGGAAATAAAGCCCTGGATGAAACAGTTGAGGTACGTGTTTGAAAATGTGTCGGGGAAACTTTTGTATTCCCTTCTCTCACATTTACATCCCATCCCTAACTTTCAGCACTGGACAGCTCCATCCATAGTCCAATACACCTTGTACAACACTTTCTCATCTCCTATGATAATTGCCTACCACCCTACTCTTAACATTCAGCATTGAGCAGCTCCAACTATAGTCCAACACATACAGTTCTCTTAATGGCCAAATGTTTGTGGACACCTGACTATCAGACCTGAGTTTCTGGACATCCCTTTCCAAAACCATGGCCATTAATAGTGTTGGACCCTCTTTGTGTCTATACCATCTTCCTCTCTTCTGCGGGTGTCTGTGGGAATTTGGTCCCATTTGTGAGGTCAGGTACTGATGTTGGAGAAGAAGACGTGGCTAACCATCAGTGTCCTATTCACCCTGAAAATGCCCAGTAGAGTTGAGGTCAGGGCTCTGTGCAGGACACTCCAGACCAAACTGGTCAAACCATATCTTTATGGAGCTGGCTTTGCACACAGGTGTCTATACCATATTTGTGTCTATACCATCTTCCTGTCTTCTGGGGGGTGTCTGTGTGAATTTGGTGCCATTTGTGAGGTCAGGTACTGATGTTGGAGAAGAAGACTTGGCTAACCATCGGTGTCCTATTCACCCTGAAAATGCTCAGTAGGGTTGAGGTCAGGGCTCTATGCAGGACACTCCATACCAAACTGGTCAAACCATGTATTTATGGAGCTTGCTTTGCACACAGGTGTCTATACCATCTTTGTGTCTATACCATCTTCCTGTCTTCTGGGGGGTGTCTGTGGGAATTTGGTCCCATTTGTGAGGTCAGGTACTGATGTTGGAGAAGAAGACTTGGCTAACCATTGGTGTCCTATTCACTCTGAAAATGCTCAGTAGGGTTGAGGTCTGGGCTCTGTCCAGGACACTCCATACCGAACTGGCTCAAACCATGTCTTTATGGAGCTGGCTTTGTACACAGGGGCACAGTCATCCTGGAACAGAAAAAGGTCTTCACCAAACTGTTACCACAAGGTTGGAAGACACAATTGTCTACAATGTCTTTGTATGAAGGAGTATTGACAGTTTCTTTCACTGGAGATGCTGGAGCTCCATTATTTAAAAAAGGGGTCTACATATGTGTGGCCATAAAGTGTTTTGAATTGCACTTTCCTACATCCCATAATACATCAACTTACAAAACCATCCACAACTCTGCCACCAGCTGCATCACCAACCTGGTCTCAAAATATCAACCAAGCCGCTCTCTTCAGTCCTCCAAAGACCTTCTGCTCTCTAGTTCCCGTGCCACCTCCTCCCATGCTCACTTCCAGGACTTCTCCCGAGCTTCTCCTATCCTATGGAACTCCCTACCCCAATCTGTCAAGCTAACTCCTAATCTATCCACCATGCCTGAAATCCTGTCTTTTTAACGAAGCCTGCTACTAACTAGTTTTCTGCCTTTTATTTCCTCCATCAGCTCATCCCCCCACAGCTATTACCTTTGGTATCACTCAACCCTTCCTCTTAGATTGTAAGCTCTAAGGAGCCGGGCCCTCTGTGTCCTCCTGTACCAAATTGTATTGTAACTGTAATGTATGCCTTCATTGTGTATAGCGCTGCGCAAACTGTTGATGCGAAATAAATCCTGTATAATAATAATAATAATAATCAACAAATAACATTCAGCACTGGACAGCGCCCTCTATAGTCCATTACATATCGTACACCACCGTCCTGTCTCCCGTAATACATCATACCCCTAACATTCAGCACTGGACAGCGCCCTCTATAGTCCATTACATACTGTGCAACAGTGTCCTATCTCCCATAATACATCATACCTCTAACATTTAGCACTGGACAGCGCCCTCTATAGTCCATTACGTATCGTACAACACTGTCCTATCTCCCATAATACATCATACCCCTAACATTCAGCACTGGACAGCGCCCTCTATAGTCCATTACGTATCGTACACCACTGTCCTATCTCCCATAATACATCATACCTCTAACATTCAGCACAGGACAGCGCCCTCTATAGTCCATTACGTATCGTACAACACTGTCCTATCTCCCATAATACATCATACCCCTAACATTCAGCACTGGACAGCGCCCTCTATAGTCCATTACGTATCGTACACCACTGTCCTATCTCCCATAATACATCATACCTCTAACATTCAGCACAGGACAGCGCCCTCTATAGTCCATTTACGTATCGTACAACACTGTCCTATCTCCCATAATACATCATACCCCTAACATTCAGCACTGGACAGCGCCCTCTATAGTCCATTACGTATCGTACACCACTGTCCTATCTCCCATAATACATCATACCTCTAACATTCAGCACAGGACAGCGCCCTCTATAGTCCATTACGTATCGTACAACACTGTCCTATCTCCCATAATACATCATACCCCTAACATTCAGCACTGGACAGCGCCCTCTATAGTCCATTACGTATTGTACAACACTGTCCTATCTCCCATAATACATCATACCCCTAACATTCAGCACTGGACAGCGCCCTCTATAGTCCATTACATATCGTACACCACTGTCCTATCTCCCATAATACATCATACCTCTAACATTCAGCACTGGACAGCACCCTCTGTATACAATTGCATATACAGGCATACCTTTACGGACGATTCGTTTAACGTAATTTTCAGTTTAGGAATGAAAATCCATGGAAAATAATGCCTCAGTTTACAATTTTTTCCGCAATATGAAGCATTTATAGCACCAGCCTTGTGCCTTTAAAGTGCACGTTATAAAGAGTTTTGAACAGATAAGAATTTTTTTTTTTAATCTTTCCTCATAGCTGATCTCCTCCATGCCTCTCATCAGTTTGGTTGCCCTTCTCTCTACTTCCTCCAGTTCCCCAATGTTCTTTTTGTGAATTGGAGCCCAAAACTGAACTGCATATTCCAGATGAGGTTTAACTGATGATTTGTACCGGGGGGGGGGGGGGAATTATATTTTTCTCTCTGGAGTCTATACCTCTCCTAATACAAGAGAGGATTTTGCTCACGTAGGAAAATGCAGCTTGGCATTGCATGCCATTATTAAGCTTGTGATCCACAAGAACCCCCAGATCCTTCTCCACCATTAACCCCCCCAGTTGTACCCCTCTAGTATGTATGATGCATGCATATTCTTAGCCCCCAAGTGCAGAACCTTACATTTATCAACATTAACCCTCATTGGCCCCATAGTCCCCCAATTACACAGAGCATTGAGGTCGGCTTGTAAGTTGGAGACATCCTGTAAGGACGTTATTCCCCGTCACAGCTTGGAGTCATCTGCAAAGACTGAAATGGGATTTATAATCCCAGACCCGATATTGGTTATAAATATATTAAAATGTAAGGGTCCCAACACTGAACCTTGGGGTACCCCACTAATAACACTGAACATTGGGGTACCCCACTAATAACACTGAACCTTGGGGTTCCCCACTAATAACACTGAACCACGGGGTACACCACTGAGAACCCTAGACCATTCAAAGTATGAATCATTAACCACTACTCTCTGAATACAATCTTTTAGCCAGTTTTCTATCTATTTACAAACAGATATTTCCAGCCCATAGACTTTACCTTACAGTTTAGCTGTGTGTGGGGAACTGGGTCAAACGCTTTTGCAAAATCCAAGTCTATCACATCCATTGCCACCCCTCTGTCCAAGTATACTGCGTCCACCACCACCCCTCTGTCCATGTATACCATGTCTACCACCACCTCTCTGTCCAAGTATACCACGTCCATCGCCACCCCTCTGTCCAAGTATACCACGTCCACCACCACCTCTCTGTCCAAGTATACCACGTCCACAGCCACCCCTCTGTGGTTTTGCTCTTCTGTCCCTTCTGTCTTTCATGCCTCCATGCTGTCTGTTGCTTAAAATAATTGTTTCCAGCAATAATCCTCTATGTGGTCTTTTATTACACTCTCCGGTATCTTCCCAACTATAGAAGTTACACTAACAGGTCTGTAATTACTTAGTAAAGATTTTGACCCCTTTTTAAATATTGGCCCCACATTGGCCTTATGCCAATCCAGTGGAACTATGTCAGTCATTAAAGAGTCCCTAAAAATGAGAAACAATGGCTTTGAAATGGCAGAGCTGAATCCTTTAAGGCCCCGTGGGTGTATGCCATCCGGTCCAGGGGCTTTATTCACCTTTATTCTGTCTAAATATTTCTGGATCTTATCAATTGTGAGCCAATGTGGATCATCTGGAGCTGTGTCAGTACCACCCCCCATTATGGACAAGAGCTCCCCCTTGATCCTTTGTATACACAGAGCTGAAGAAGGGATTTCATACATTTGCCTTTTCTTTGTCCCCAGTAACCCCCTCTAGATGATCCTGTAAAGGGCCTACATGCTGGGACCGGACCTTTCTACTATTCATATATTTGAAGAATGTTTCAGGGTTGGTCCTGCTATCTTTTGCAATCTGTCGTTCGTTTTCAATTTTTGTGCCTTTTATTTCCTTTTTGCATATTCTGTTATATTCTTTGTAATGTTTAAATGATGATGGCGTTCCTTCATTTTTATATTTAATAAAAGCTCTTTTCTTATTATCTGTAGCTTTTTTTAACTTTGGCCGTAAGCCATATAGGTTTGATTTTTAGCCTGTTAAACTTTTTACCCATGGGAATATATTTTGCAGTGTGGTCACATACATTCTTTTTAAAGAACTCCCATTTCTGTGTTGTGTTCATTGATGCCAATATTCCCTCCCAACCTAAGTCTTTGTGAGTAGCTCTGAGCCTTGGAAAATTAGCTCTCTTAAAGTTGAGCATTTTTAATTGTCCCGTATGTGCTTGCCGTTTACAGCTAACAATAAATGAAATCATGTTATGGTCACTGCTACCCGGATGTTCTTTTATATGGACATTCATAATAAGCTCTGCATGGTTTGAGATTTCCAGGTCCAGCAGAGCATCATTCCTAGTTGGGGCCTCTATGAAATGTACCATAAAATATTCCTGTAGTAGATTTATTAAATTTTGCCCTTTAACTGTTCCTGCAGTACCATTACTCCAGTCAATTTCTGGGTAGTTAAAATACCCCATTTGTATCACTGTCCCAGCCCATGCAGCCCTTTCAATCTGTGCGAGGAGCTGAGTCTCCACCTCCTCATTAACACTGGGAGGCCTATAACAAACTCCAATTATTACCTTTGTAGTACGCCCCCCATGTACAGTTCCACCCATAATACTTCAGCCTCATCACACTCTCCATCAACTAGGTCCTCTTTCACACTCGCTCTGAGATCACTTCTCACATAGAGACAGACACCACCACAAAACGTTGCACTTTGGTTCAATAGACTTCAATGGAGAAATGCATGTAATGGATTTTTAATGCATTTCGCATTTTAATTTGCCAAGCAACAAGCTGGGAAAAAAGTAAAAAAAACGCAAAACGTGTTAAAAACGCATGTGCAAAAACTTAAAATGTACCGCAGAACCGGATCAAACACAAACTGCATAGGTGTGAAGCTAGCCTTAAAGTGGTGTGGTTGTTTAGGTGACAAGGATGTCTGGACACCTAGTATACCTATCACAGATGCCATGAGCCCTCGGCACACAAAGAGTTAACTTACGAAGCCGGAGCTTAATTAAAGCTCGCAAACAATGAGTTCACAAAGCCCATGTCCCAGGAGGAGAGCGATCTGCGATTTGGAGTGGTTACATTATTAAACACGGAGAAACAATACAGTAACATTGTGTCACACTGCCGCGATTGACAATGCCCCTGAACCCCGGAACAATGCTCACCCCCAGGACGGCTTTTCAAGGAGTTGAGTTAAGGATCCCCAGCAGCGCTCGCTTATTGTTGTCTTCGGTATTTAAGCTGTTAGGCATTGTTTAGAAAAATATGCGGCTTTTAAATGAGTGTAATGGAGTTTTTTGTTTGATGAATTGCCGTCGGGTTTGTACATTGATTGAAATACGGTAAGCCAGCGGCCCACACATCTGAACGGCGTCATCGCGCCACTGCTCAACATCTGCTGCCCGCCTATTGATAATGGACCTGTGAGTCGCACCCGGTCATCGGCGGCATGGTGGGACGGGTTTCTGGAAACGTTACATTGGAGCATCCAGCAAAAACACGAATTATCCAGAAATGGAAATTGCAGTTACGAGTCTTTCAAAATGATTTCAGATTTCTAAAGTTCTTTGCTTTTAATTCATTCTACGTCTCATGGCGAGGATGGCAAATACACGTGTGCTCAGTGGTGTATTTAGGTTTTCCTGACCGCCCCATAGCAGAAATACTGCTACAGGGCGGCACGGGTGAGCAAAATCACGTATATATATATATGTGACTTTGCATTTCCGGGTAGGGAGCATGTGCTAGGTGTGTGCGCGCCCTACCCGCCCACCCTTCCCTGCCGGTGATTACACGCTGGCGCCCGGTGATTGCCGTACATCTCCGATGGGGGGGGGACTGTTTGTAAACAAAACAGTTCTCCTCCCTGTCACCTTCTGCACACTCCTAAGAACAAAGGTATACCGCTCAGGCAAACATTCCAGATCAATCCACGACAGGTACAGGCTCTGGCTCGCCACCACACACGATGCAACAGGAAGAAGGGTCAGCCGCACACCGGAGGATAGATGAATATAGTGAGTATATTTATTGATCCATAGGACACACAAAACACCAGGACATGAATACAGGACCTGTCAACGCGTTTCACATGATCCCGTGCTTAATCACAACAAAGAAAACAACAAGAGTGCCGTCTTATATAGGAGTTAGTTAATAAAGAACACCCGTCCTAATCAGTACTCCTGAATCCTGGGGATTCCTAAATAACCATTTGGCAACCGCGCTATAACTGAATGATGGCTACAGCGCAGTTGTCCAGTCATGGGAGGGTGTCTTATGATGTTCTCCCAGAACACGCCCTTCCCCCGCGTGCACCCGGCGATCTCTGTGATCACTGTGTTCTATGGACACAGTTGATCACGTGATGTGGTAAAAGGCCAATCACAGTGGCCTTTTACCTACCACGTGATCAGCTGTGTCCAATGATATAGCAGTAGAACCTTTTGGTCTAAACTTCACTCGTCGTGTTTGGAGGAAAAAGAAGGATGAGTTGCATTCCAAGAACACCATCCCTACTTTGAAGTATGGGGGTGGTAACATCATGCTTTGGGGGTGCTTTTCTGCGAAGGGGACAGGACGACTGCACTGTATTAAGGAGAGGATGAATGGGGCCATTTATTGTGAGATTTTCAGCAACAACCTCCTTCCCTCAGTCAGATCATTGAAGATGGGTCGTGGCTGGGTCTTCCAACATGACAACGACCCGAAGCACACAGCCAGGAGAACCAAGGAGTGGCTCCGTAAGAAGCATATCAAGGTTCTGGAGTGGCCTAGCCAGTCTGTAGACCTAAATCCAATAGAACATCTTTGTAGGGAGCTGAAACTCCGTGTTGCTCAGCGACAGCCCCGAAACCTGACAGATCTAGAGGAGATCTGTGTGGAGGAATCGGCCAAAATCCCTGTTGTAGTGCAAACCTGGCCAAGAACTACAGGAAACGTCTGACCTCTGTAATTGCAAACAAAGGCTTCTGTACCAAATATTAACACGGATCTTCTCAGGGGTTCAAATACTTCTGTTCAGCCGTGCGAGACAAATACATTCTTTACAAATCATACAATGCGATTTCCTGAATTTGTTTTTTTTTTAAATTCTGTCTCTCAGAGTGGGAATGCACCTACAATGTGAATGTCAGACCCCTCCATGATTTCTAAGTGGGAGAACTTGCAAAATTGCAGGGTGTTCAAATACTTCTGTTCCTCACTGTATAATTAAATACTTTGTATTGGATATATTAAAGTTCTTTGGTAATTGTACAATTTTCCTTTGATATACCTCTAGACTTTCTCGGCTGTAGAAAGTTCTTCAAAAAAATTTCCCTTGAAGAAGCCCGTGAGGGCAAAACATGTAGGGAGTAATTACAATTACATAACCAAGTTTGAATCTCAGTTTTACTGTTAGAACTGAAATTGTTTTTATGTTTCTGTATTTTTTCCTTTCTCATTGTGTTTTTTACAAAAATACAAAATAAAAATTATATAACTTTTGAATATGTTTGGTATTCATGTTCATGCACCCTGAAAGTCCCATCTTCTCTATTGAATATGACTATTGGTCTATGTACAGGCCTCATTATATGAGGTACAAGGGGATTTGGCCGTGTGGGCAGATGTTCATTTATGACCATTTTAACCTCTATGTGGATGCTGCTATCCTTTATTACTGCTCATAGTGACATGTGAGTTCGTGGAGAAGGTTTCTTTTGGTAAAGTCTGTGTAATGGTTGGAATTATATATAACAATTTCCGGTTATCGGCAGTACTTTCCTCACGCTATAACAGTGTAAGGAAAGTGCAGCCGATAACCGGCAACTGCATTTACCGGTGATCTGCTATATTTTTAAAGGCACAGTAGCAGGTCTTTAAGAGACAGAATTCTTGCTGTTTCTTAGGTGTTCAAATACTTATGTTCAGCAGTGCAAGACAAATAAATTCTTTAAAAATCATACAATGTGATTTCCTGATTTTTTTTTTTTTTTAAATTCTGTCTCTCAGAGTGGGAATGCACCTACAATGTGAATTTCGGATCCATCCATGATTTCTAAGTGGGAGAACTTGCCCAATCGCAGGGGGTTCAAATACTTCTGTTCCTCACTGAAAGATATAGATATAGATAGATAGATAGATAGATAGATAGATAGATAGATAGATAGATAGATAATAGATAGATAGATAGATAGATAGATAGATAGATAGATGATAGATAGACAGATAGATAGACAGA